AGACAAGCGAGATAGTGTGAGAAAGGAGAAGAACAAATAAATAATCCTCTCTCTTTTAGTTATTTATTATAAATTTTATTCTCAACTTCTTTAATTGTAAGTATTAGCTCGTAAAAAAAGATTCAAGTTTAATAAATCATTTTGTTTTCATTAGCACTAAACTAAGAAGGTATTACTCGTTCCGTTAATATTTTGTTTTGCGATTCATTAATTTATTTAAAACTTTTTTTGACGCTACCAACACGCGTAACAGCATTTTTCACTTTTAATCCATATTGTTGTTTGAAATAATCCGCGAACCGATAGAAAAAAGAAGAAAAAAAAAAAAACCTTAATTAAACTAATTGTCACTCTACACGCGGCTTGATGTTTTCTCGCAAGGGAAAACAACGATCAATTGATATGATGAAAAATCAGTCCACTACTGTTCTTCCCATTTTATTTTTCAATTCATATCACAAATCTAACGTAGAAAAATATGACTTCGTGAAAATTAACTCTTAAACTATAATATAACGATTGACAATTCTTTATAATATTATAATAAACAATTGAAATAATACGAAGTCAAAATTCCCCCCCCCCGAAAGATTAAAACAATTTGAAAGTGGTATGCTTTGGGATTACTATAATTAATTCTTTGGGAATACGTTAGATTATCTCCTTAGATTCGGTGTACACATGGTAATACACGGTAGGGACTTTAATACTCATTAAATTTGCATCTCGAGACATTGAGAACGAGAAAGAGAAAGAGATAGAGAAATAGAGAAAGAGAGAGAGAAAAAGGTGGATAGGGGAGGGGGAAAGAGAGAGAAACGAGCGAGGAAATTATTCGGGGTTGTTTGTACGAGAAAAGCGGAAGGAAGGAAGGAAGGAAGGAAGGAAGGAAGGAAGGTAGGTAGGTATGTAGGACCTTTGGCAATTCTCTCGCCTAAGCCGACACATTGCAACGAGTCTAGTCGGATTAAAGTAGCACTGCAGGCAGGCGATTCGCGGTTTCGTACATCGTCCCTGTCCCTTTGCCAACGATGAAACACGACCAGAATCGCCTGGGTAAGAATAATTGATAGCTTTAGTTGTAGAAGGAATAAAAGGGTTAGTAAGAGAAAGAGAGAGGGAAAGATAGTTGGGTAGAAAGAGAAGCAAACTTCCTATCGGATACTATATCCAAAACCGAGCCTTACGATAAGTCCATAGTTCGAGGGATTCGAGAGGATTTCTCCCTTTATATCCCGAGAGAGATATTAATTCGCCAATTATCGAAAGAGCACAAAGCTTCGTTTAATAAACTTTCTCTCTCTCTCTCTATGACACATATACACAGACACACACTTTCGATATAGAAGAATAGATAATATATAATAGATATAAAGAATAAATAATTAGTAAAATTTCTTATAATTACTAATGATATGTAATAAACGAATCGATTGAATTCAATTTTAAGAACGTGATTAAAAGGGTATTTGCATTATATTTAAAATGATGTATTACTAGGTAAACGATGCTATTTAAAATTTCAAAGAAGGCAGATAGAGGCAGGTGGTGGTGGTGGTGGTGGTACGTTGGTAATTTAAAATTTTATCAATATTGGTTTTAAATTTCCCCCTTCGATATCTAAATTGACGTGTTTTTTTTTTTCTTTCTTTCTCTTTATTTTCTCAAAATCAATATTGCCTAAAATCAATTCTGGATGTCAAGTTTTATAACGAACAAATTTTATATAATATCATTATAATATATAGATATGGTTTTGTTCTAAATAAAGAAAAATAAAAAAAGGTAATTCCTCTTTGCGAAGACTGGGAATATAAAGAAAAAAAAAAAAGAAGAAGAAGAAAGTATAAGCATTAAAGAGTGACCGAATGACCCGGTTAAATTTCGTTCCTCTCGCAAATCGTCGCTCGTAAGAATTTCTTTGTTTTACTTACTTAAGGTTTAATTATTCTACCATTCCTTTGTCATAATGGGTTCCACCCTCGTTAAGAGAGAGAGAGAGAGAGAGAGAGAGAGAGAGAGAGAGAGAGAGAGAGATGGAAAGATAGAAAACAGCATTCCAGTTTAGTGCANTTAAGAGAGAGAGAGAGAGAGAGAGAGAGAGAGAGAGAGAGAGAGAGAGAGAGAGAGATGGAAAGATAGAAAACAGCATTCCAGTTTAGTGCAGTTATTTGGTAACGTTTTATGGTTTAAGCTCTGGTTTTGCTTGAACGAAGAAATGTTTGTATGTACATTAATGATGAAGTCGACTGTAATAGGACTTTAAATTTTAAAATGAAAAACCAGAGGAGTGTCTTTTTTAAAACCGACGTTATCGTTTTAGTTTTATAAGAAAATTATTTTACGTATTTATCATTAAGAAATTATTATTATTATTATTATAGTTTGTGGTTGTATATCCAAGTATATACTTCTATACTACTGATTTATTCGGAGTTTGTTTTGTGTGTGATAGTAACGAAGATGAAAGAGATATTTTTCTTTAAACTTTTTTTCTTCTCCTTTTTAGCAAGTCAGATTACCCAGGAGAAACCAAATCTCGTTAATTAAGGTAGATCTAGCTTGTCTCTTATGCATACTTTGTACTTTCATTGGCATTTACGAAACGGTGTAGTAACGCGTCAAGATTAACCAATTAAAAAAGATACCTTGTCCTCATGTATCAAAAAATTTTTTTCCTTGGTTATATAAAAGTATTCGAGAGAGAAAAAAAAGCACAACTATGTTAAAAAAAAAAAACCATAAAAGTCGATACGACAGATATCACGGTTGAAAAACAATTCAACATGAATATATGTTTAATTTCATTCTATCTGTTATATTTCGTTCGTTTTTAGATCCATTATTTCATCTGGTAGGAAAAACGATATCATGAAATAGAACTTGTTTTGCGTGATATTCCAATATGGAAACCTTTTATTCTCGAAATTACACATGATTCCCTATAAACAAAAAAAAAGTTCATCTATGTATTTTCTTTTTCTCTCTTTCTTTCTTTCCTTTTTTTTCTGTTTCGACAGAGGCACGTGCACGATACGACGGATACGTGTACGGGCCTCCTGAACTTACCGTGCCCGGCATTACAAGGGGTTTTAATTTCGTTGAGAAGCCAGATGGACCGAAGTGCTACGTGTTCTCCTTTACGGTCGCCTGCGTGTTCTTGATTAACGTCGATTCCACGGTGGTGGTCCCATGTTACGTTCTCATTTTCCTTTCCGCCACTTTATTCAATTCACCGGTCGGTAGTAACACCCACCACTAATACTACTATCACCACTACCACCATTTCAGGCAATAGTCCTACTACCAAATGTCATCATCACCACGGTCATCCTCGTTTATAGCCTACTTTTTCTTTTTATTCATTCCCCAATAGAGAGACCGAAAAACGTTTCGTTTCGTTTCTTTTTAGTGAACGCGTAAGTAGTCGTACAAGTGGTACTGAACTCGAATCGTATAATTTAACAACCTTTTCATTTATTTGAACTTCTAAAATCACTTTGGATAAAACGTAATACGATCAAATTTATCGATTATTTTGTTAATTGTTAAATAAACTTGTAGATTATATTTTTCATTTGATTAACATCATGAAATATATATTATAATATATAATTTTTAAATATTATTTAATTAAATATTATAATATATATATATATATCTCGATTTTTTTTAAACGTCTATATTATTTTTAATTGATCATTCTACAAACGATCTACTATGTATTGTAAAAAGAAAATCTAACTCTTATTTGTGGCTTGATAAAAGCTTTAAAACATTATCTCTTATTTCTATGAAGTACTTAGAATTCTTATTGAAATGGAAAACGTTTAAAACAAGTATTGTATAATACTTATTGTTTGTAATTTCCGATTATTTATGAGAGAACATTTTATCGATAGCAGCTACAGTAATCGTTTAAAGCGTATCCTTTTTATCATTCTTCTTTCGAAGATAAAAGAAGGAAACAAGTGGGAGGATTTAAAAATGGAAAGCAAGAAATATAGAAAGAAAAGTACATCGGCCAGTATTGTTCGTACTGTAATTTATTACAATTTGTACAGATTACAAATCAGTACCTATCGTTTCTTTCTTCGCATTCATTGTTAGGCGTCTTAAAAGGAGCGGATATCGAGCAAAACGTTGTCGCCGCTTATCGTAGCTGCGCTAACGTTTATAATATTATACCGATCATTACGAGGATTATCTTGAATTTTATAATCTACCCTTATTTTCTGTCTCTTATTTTTATTTTTATTTTTATTTTTATCTTTATATTTACGTGTTATATTATTTTCTTTCTTTTTATTCATTGTCGCTTAACATTGGCGCGTATCCTTATAACGAAGAAGAGAAAATCCGAAGAGAGAGAGAACAATTTGTATTTCGCGGAGAATGGTGTGGCAGTATTTAAACATATTTTCGATTTATAGTTGAGAGGAAATCGGAAATTGCTCCTGATTGTCCAACATTTTCCTCTCTAACTAAAATTCGTAATATCCCTCACGCACATAATTCCTCCCTCTTCTAATAGGACACACTTTTTTCTTCATATTTATATGTATTTTTTACTTCTTTTACTTTAAGGAACGAACGAACGAACGATCTTTCGTCATTCACCTTGCTTTGCCTCCACTTAATTAACAATTTACATCAAAAAGATAACATGTTCAAAAGTAACTGCGTTATGTACTTATATAATAGGTCGTCGTCGTAGATTTTACAATGGGGTCGTCTTTTTTTTGTCCTTTTTATTTTTTTTTTTTTATTATTTTTATTAAGAAACGCGACGCGTCGCCGTCTTTTTATTTCCGTTCTTTTTTTTTTTGGGGGGGGGGGGGGAGTTTTTTTTTTTTTTTTTTTTTTTTTTTGGGGGGGGGGGGAAGTTTTTCTTTTTTTTCTTCTTCTTTTTTTTTATTAATTATATATTTCATCGTCGTCGTCAGGCTATTTTCGTTTAAATTTTCTTTTCTTGTTGTTATTTCTTGTATTTTTTTTTCTTTTTTTGTTTGTCCTTTGTTAATCGTTCTTGTCACCTTATTTCGTCTCATTCGTTTACAATAAAAATCATCGTTATTCGACTATCTACTTCAATACATAGTAACATACATAACTGGAAGCCCTAGACTACTAGGTTTTACATGGACGATGTATTCGGGTCAGACAGTGGCAATGATGTTCTCGTTAATGTCGCGGACAAGCTACCTTGTACCAAGTACAGCACTCGTAAGTCGTCCGCTCGTCAAGGCTTCGGTCATCGCCAGTATTACTGTAGCCAAGGCAATCGAAGTCATCGCTGTGGAGTACCAAACTTGTTGGTTCGTAACAACGCTTGCACTTGATTCTGCTGACAAAGAGAGAGAAAACAAATATGGTTCAATTTAGAATTAAATTACAATGATAATAACAAAAAATTTTCTATCGTTACATATATATATATATATATATATATATATGTATATACACTCAATTCTGTTTTTACACGATTTTGATTTAACACGATCGACCCAAATTTTAAGAAGAAAATTTTCCTTTACCAAGCACTCCATCTTAAAAGGATTTTTCGATAGATGGAATATACTTTTTTTTTTACACGTATTTTTTGCCAACGTATCTATCGTGTTAAAACAGAATTATGTGTATATATATAATACAATACCGTTAAAGTGTATAATACAGTTAATTCGTGAAGTGATTAAACGTTTTAGGAAATGCATATAAAAAAGATTTTACTATACACTTTAATTAGTTGTATTATAAAATAACTATTTAATATATGTATTCACGAGAGATGAGTAATTAAAAAATAAAATTGATATTTGATTTATCTTTTCAGAAATTTCGAAGATATCTTACTTCGTCATTTTTCTACTTCTGATTATTTTCTATTTTTCAAAATCTAATTTAATCCCTTAAATTAATAGAAAATATTTTATCTGGAGAAAAAATAATTTTTACTTGAAAGATCTTAAAACGAAAGAACACATATATTTTGTCTCCAAATTTATAAAAGTACAAGTACAGAACATGATAAGTATAAATATTTAGAAGCAAATCACAATCTCATATTTAAACTAAACCAAGTATAATTATTTCATGTAATAGCTCGTTTTTTCTTGATTTAATGGATTTCACGTTTTGTATGTGTGTACGTATGTGAACATATGTGCACGTATGTTCGTAGAGTAAAAAAATTAGACTCGTTAAAATAATGCATACAGTGTTTTATAACTATTTTACTGTAATTTATCAGTTGGAGAAAGAATCAAGGGAGAGAGAAAGAGAAAGAGATGGAGAGAAAGAAATAACTAGTACTAAACGATATATCATTCGCTCGCAAATAACTTTAAAAGCGTACCATATCCCAAAGGTACAGAGAGAATCGTAAAACGGTTAGTATCTTAACATCCCGACGATGGATATGAAGTATATATAGACAATGCATTTTACGGAAATCTCTTGGGAATAAGCCCCCCAGTATGTCCTCGGGCCATTTTGATAAAATCGTATCTACCATGCTGTAACATCGAGAGGATATCCTCTTATCGTTCTCCCTTTAAACCTTTCCTTTAAACCTAAAAGGAGAAAAGAGAGAGAGAGAGAGAGAGAGAATGGAAGAACAGAATTCCAGAATAATTTCGACGTGAGACGATAAGGTATCTTATATTAACAAAATCAATGCAAAATACAGGTAACATTAAAGCATCGTGCTTCAGATTGTATCTTGTCAAATTTTATCTGCTACTTAACGTTAAATCGTTATTACCATCAAATTCATAAAAAAGAAACAAATTATTTAAAGCTAAAGAATATGTACACTTTAAATTGCAATTCTAATCTTAAATTTTCGTTATTTATATTTTCGAAAAATATCATTAAATGTAAAAATTCGTAATAAGTTTTTCAACATTGTTTTTTCGCAAAGTAAATATTATATTACCTAACGATATTTTTCTTTTTTTCGTCTTATTCGTTTTTGAAAATTATTTTTACGCATATAATGCAACAACGTTCGTCGTGAATTGAAATAAATTATGAAAAACTTCCCTCCCATTTCCCATTATTATACTACATTAAATAAAAGCATCATACATATTATTTTAATACAACCTATTTTTTGTCTTCTCTATTTCAGTAATACTTTTGAGGAAGAGAAGCATTGGTGAAAATTTAACGAAACTCTAAGCGAATCGATAAAAAGTTTCATCGAAGTAAGGTTGAAAAAGAACCGAAGGAGTGATAAAGAATCGTATTAAGGGCAACGTCACAGTTCCCCGCGATTAAATTTTCAAGAAAGGGGTCGTCGGTAAGAAAAAAAAAGGAACGAAGACGAAGGGAAAAAGAAGCGAGATCGAAGTAGTAACTCCTGGAGAGAAAGGATGGAAAAAGTAAATTAACGCTTGACTCGCATTCTCGGCAAACCTCGACGAACTCAACGCCGTTGGAAGATGCAAAGAACCTTGGGGGTAAAGTACCCAATGGTAATTTCGTCCGCGACGAAACGTGCAAAATAATTGGACCAGTTTGTCGGGAACGTTCTAGGTAAATGAACTTTTTTTTTTTTATTACTATATTTTTTGTCTTTTGCGGCTTGTCTTAATGTTTTCTTAATGTTTCCACTTGTCCTAATGTTGCCGGATACACATGTGCCGGTAATTGTGACAATGACCAAGGTAAACAAATTTTAAAACTTGATTTAAACTTAAACTTGATTTAAAACTTGATTAATTAAATCTCTTTTTAAATTTTTTGATTTAATCCACTGTCATAATTATTGGAGCATGTTAGTTGGGGCAAGTTTAACATATCTTTTGCAAAAATGTTTTTAAGCAAGTATTAATACCAGGTCATATTTATTATTAAAGGTACACCCTAGCGAATTCGATGAATAATCAAAAATCGTTCATTTTTTAACCTATTTTCTTTTATTTGGGAATCTATTTGTTTGTGGAGCTTATATTGAGACTATAAAATGTATTAAATAATAATAAAAATAATTTGATTGAATTTAATTGTGATCTTAACAATTGATTACTTGTATTTTATTTATCACTAACAAAAGTATCAGATGATCAGAAAATGAGTTTCAGATATCCACTAAAAAATAATATACCCTGCATAGTCTTAATGTTAAGGTAGATTAGAAATTCGATCAGTGCTGATTGTTTTAAGTTTATTGTTTATCTATTTACTATATCTATGTATATGTTGACAATGGAAATTTCGTGTTTATGGAAAAAGAAATAAGTATTCGTATTGATTTTTCAATCTGTCTAAAGATATTATATAATAGAATTTTATATTTTATATTAGATTAGTTTGACTTTTCATTCAGTCATTTAAAGATAATGTAATTACGTTTTATTACTTTGTTCATATTCCTCATACAAAAATTCATTTACATTGTAAAATGTAGCGGAGAGATATTGTAATTATATGTGTATTAATTATAATTCACAATTAGACTGGGGAAAAAGATACATTTTCTATTATTCATTTTAATATATTTAGCATATATATATACTTATAGTTTAATTATAATTATATTATAACCGAAAATAACTGAAGTAACATATTTTCAGTATTACAAATGGTAATAAAAATATTTTAACGATAAATTATTTTCGTACAGTTGCGAGTTAATGGAAATATTTAGATTAAATCTAATAAACGTTTTCAACTTCGTACGTATTTGTTTCAAAGTTTTCATTTACGATATGAAAAGAAGTAGAGAATCAAAATATATTTTAGAATATTTCTTATAAGGTAATTAACGAATATCAAACGAAAATAGTGATAGTTATCCCGGTCTTCATAAATAATGAAACACGAATAATAACGTTTACGTGGTACCGCATTTACGAGCTTATTAACATTGTGAAAAAAGGAATAAAAGAAATAAAATAAAACGTATTATCCAGGATAATTTCGGTCAGATGTGAAAATTAAGAGTTATCTCTTTTACTTTCTTCTTTTTTTTTTT